TAGTCCGAATCCCGCAAAAGAAGAAGAAAAACACCCACCGAGCTCTGCACCGTCCGCCTTTTCGGCGTCTGCTGCCCCTGCGTCGGGGTCCTCATCTCCGCCTATACATCACCGTCAGCTTACCGCCTCTCACGGAAGACAGAACACGTACCGCCGGCGTCATCATCTGCACCTCCTCGTCCTCGTCCGCCTGCATGCAAGTCAGCTCAATAGGAGAGGATAAGAGGAGGGGGAGGGACATACGTGATTTTCGTCCTCGCTATCGTTGTTTTGTCCTTCGTTCTGAATTTCTTCTGCGTCTTCGTTATCGTTGTCACCTTCCTCATCGCCGGCGGCAGGCACCACCGCCTCCTCCTCCTACCAACCCAGCACATCAGCTTTGCACGGACGCTCGAAGGAGAAGAGCAACTCACCTCCTTCTTGACGCGCCCTGCGAACGGCCAGAGCGCGATGCGCTCGAGGCTCTTGCGCCACCCGAGGCGCGGCGCTTGGTCTTGGTCTTGTTCTTCTTCCTCGTCATCGCCGCGCACAGGCACCTCCGCGTCCTCCTCGTCAGAGACGTCCGAGCCCGACGACACGCTGACGACCTCGAGGCGCAAGCTGCGCACCTCCTCCTCCTCCTCCTCCGTGTCCGTCTCGTCCTCCTCCGCATCCATATTCTGCTGGCGCTCGCGCTCCGCGGCGCTCCACCCGCGCACGACGGGCCCCGCGCGCGCCGTCGGCGTCGCATTCACATTCGCAGCGGGAGAAGCATTCGCGGAATTAGCAGCCCACACGGCGCGCTGCGCGCTGCGGATGAGCACCGCGCGGTGCAGGCTCTGGCGGCGCGGCGTGCGCGGCTGCTGCGGCGCGCTGTTCGCCGGGCGGCCGCGGTCGGCGTTGGGGGAGGGTGCGGGGGCGACCTCGACGTCCTCGAGGATGACGAGGTCGCGCGCCTCCTCGACGACGCGCGGGTGGGAGCCCTGCACGAGGGTGATGTGCTCGTCCGTGCTGGCGCGGGGCGGGGTGCCAGCTGGGGATGGGGATGGCGGGGAGGCGGGGGCGAAGGGCGCGCGGAAGGGCGACTGGAGGACGCGCAGGTTCTGGCGCGGGTCGGGCGAGGGGCAGGGCGAGAAGACTTGGGCGGAGGCGATCATGGAGAGGCGCAGTGCGCGGTTGGCGGGGCCTGCGTCGAGTGTGCATGGTATATAGTATAATTCGGCAGGAAGACGGGGAAAGGTAGAAAAATCGGGCAAAAGTCAGTGGCATGCGGGGGATTAGAACAAGGGGGTACGCACGGGCAGGGGACGCGGCGAGGGCCGCGCGCATCTCTTTCGGCGGGTACGTGAAGCGAAAGCGCTTCCCATGGATCTCGAGCTCGCTCGCATTCCCCAGCGGGATCGTCTTCGTCTTCCCAGAGCCCTCTTCATGCGGGTACACCAAACAGCCATCAACGAGCAGGCCATGGCTGCCCAGGACCTCCAGAAACGCCTTGCGCGCGTCGTTGAAGACGATGCGCGCGTGGACCGGGGCGACGTCGGGGTAGTACAGGCGCACGCTGCAGGCGGTGTCGCGGCCGAAGGAGACCGTGGAGGTGTCGACACCGAAGGAGGTTACGACGTCCGCGGTGGGGTTCTGGCGCAGGAGTTGGATGGTGCCGTAGCGGCCGGGCGAATCCAGCGGAGAGCTCATGGTGAGAGGCAGGTTGCAGGATCAACTTGTTGTGGTTTGTTGACGCGTTGCTCACGTGGCCGGCGCGCCCCTTTGTTGACGCGCTTAACGAGCGGGGTTCATTCAATTCCACGGCAGTAATTCGCGTCAATTTTTCGGGTTGGATTATATGTCTATCCCGTGGATTTACAATCTGAATCCTGGTTCATGAAGCTAGCCGTGGAAGCCAGATGGTCAATCCAAAATTTCCCACTGAAGACAACACACCCAGGTTCAGAAAAAGTATTATGCGACCTTCAACAGTGCCCTCGGGGGATTCGAACCCCGGCGCTGACTCGGTACATCATGACCACTGGTCGAGCAAACATCGTCGGTGATCTCCATTGATCAACGAGGGCTTTCCATACCCAATTCCCAACCCGAGTATGGTCGAACAGGGAACGATATGCCGGAGTGAAAAGGTGGATAAAAAATGTGGTCTGTGGTACTGCCACTGGTACAACATGCCTTCGGGGGGAGTCGAACCCCCTCCGCCCACCCAGAGTAGAAGTACTGAACGCCAATGTGTGTGGGTGATCTCCATTGATCAACGAGGGCTTTCTATACCCAATTCCCAACCCGACTATGAACATCGAACAGGGAAAGATATGCCGGAGTGAAAAGGTGGAGAAAAAATTTGGTCTGTGGTCCGTCATGCCTTCGAGGGGAGTCGAACCCCCTCCGCCCACCCAGAGTATAATTGCTGCTCGCCAATGTGTGTGGGTGATCTCCATCGATCAACGAGGGCTTTCTATACCCAATTCCCAACCCGACTATGGACATCGAAAGGGAAAGATATCCCGGAGTGAAAAGGTGGAGAAAAAATGCCACCGTGGTCAACCATGCCTTCGGGGGGAGTCGAACCCCCGTCACCCACTAGTACTGTTTTTAATCGAAACCCATAGTTTGTGTGGGTGATCTCCATTGATCGACGAGGGCTTCCCTGTCCAGAATGCAACCAAAATAAACAGAATGGATTTGAGCGATGCAAGAAGGCAAAAGTCGGAAATGCAGAGGAAGGAAAAAGCCGGACGGCGATGAGCAAGGCCCTCGGGGGAATCGAACCCACTGCCACCCGTTCGGCATCCTTGGGAATGAGATAGCTTGTGTGGGTGGTCTCCATTGATCAACGAGGGCTTCATTCACCTAGAATGCAACCCGAGTTCATAGCACAACAGGCAAGCCCGAGTAAAAGTGTAACGGCGCCAATGCCCCATACCCTCGGAGGGGATTCGAACGCCATGTCCATTCTATAATACAGCGTGTAGTCAATAATACAGTATGCGTGTCAATGGTTGATCTCCATTGATCAGCGAGGGCTTTCCTAGCTAAAATGCGCCCAAAACGAATAGAGTCGATTCGAGAAGGAAAGCCTCTTTCCTTCAATCAGGGCCCCGGGGGAATCGAACCCCTGTTCCGTGGTCATTTCCGGAACCAATCGGCGTAGGTGATCTCCTGAATCATTGATCGACGAGGGGTTTTAGCCTTTTGTCCCCTTTTCCAGCGACCGCCTTACTAAACCATTATCCATTTTCGTCAAGACGAGCAGGTGACGCAGTTTTCAGTCTCGTTAACACCCTGCTCTCCGTCGAACCGAACAGCTTCAAACGCCAACCACACACCCAGCGATATCCCATGATTCCGCTAGCGCCCAACGTCGGCGCCGTAATCGGTGTGATCCAAGAGAGTGATTCACTGCACGAGCTAGTTAGAAAAAAAGCTTCTCTGCTAGTTCTCACTATGATAAGTTACCATGTTCTACGTAGTAAACTGGCAGTTCCAATTGTGGGGACCGCGCCAGTATAATTTCCTTCTCCTCCTCCTCCTCCATGGGACCAAATGACAGTTGATTGTCCACCGCGATATGGAGAATAGAAATTGGACTGTGTACGAGACTAATCCAGATGTATATCAAGAGTAAGACTGGGCTGTGTACGAGGCTAGCCAGATGGGTAGTAAATTGGACTGGGCCCGACTAACTGGATGGGAGTAAATTCGATATCAAGAATAGAACTGTCCCATGCATACACCCTTGATCCTCATGCGGTGATTGGATGCGTCCGATTGTAACGGTAAGCGACAACATCCCCAAACACGCTCGTATATTTAAAGGGGCAGGGGAATGCCGCGGTTGCTCCCACATTCACCCCTTGACCTACAACAAAGCTCATATCCCCACGCACCAACGACCATGTTCGCTGTCCGTGTTCTCCTTAGGTGTCTCTCGTCCTAGTCGCCGACACTGACCATTCTTAGCAGACCATCCAAATCCCCATCTCTCAGAACAGCTGTGGCAACAGCAGTTGCAACTGCGGCGATTCGTGAGTCCTTGGTCAGCGCAAGTGTATTGGGTGAACTGAACTCTTGTCTAGATGCCAATGCAAGATCGGCGAGTGCAAGTGTTGATCGTTATACCGCCTGATGACCGGATATCCGCCGTTGTTGTTGGCCCAATTGAAATTCATTGTTTTTCCCATAATTTATGATCACACTCGGGTTTGGTGAGCAACAGTGTTCCCCATCCGGACGCACCACGAGAATCGAATCCGGATCTACTACCTTACTTAGAGACTAAGATTGGCATCCTGTAGAATTCTGTAAGGATAACCACCCTCTACAGTACTACATGTTTGTCTTCCGCAAACTTGTTGCTCAGCCTATGGACCACGCGAGTATAATATACCCCCCCCGCGCCCCCTAAGGTCATAATCTACGTGGGCGATCTCCGTTGATCAACGAGGGCTTTGGGCACCCACATTTTCACCCGGTGATAAAGAGCAGATTGGGGCACGCCGCCAGACTCCGAATCCGGAGTAAATCTAAAGCTAGGGAAAACAAAATTGCACATGTCCCAGCTTCGAGATCCACAATTGATATGCCCGCCATCATCTCCACCAGACTAGTAGGATATAGACGAGTATTGCGGGAGAAAAACCTTGGACACCGTTAACTACGTCAGGGGAATTCGAACCCCCACTGCCCACGGTCTGGTGATTTGGACCCAGCAATTAAGCAGCGTGATGACCTCCATTGATCAACGACGGCTTCACATACCTAATTTCAGCCGAAATATATAGGATGGATTTGAGCGATGCAAGAGGTACCCGAGTACACGAGAGTCGTACGGCGACACCCTAGGGGGATTCGTGCCTTCATCAATTAATTTTGAACGCCGTCTGCCCATTGATAACTCCGAAATCAGTCGTATTTCTCGTACATAGTTGTGCCCCACCGATCCCAGAATTCAATACACCACACCACACCCGACTTCGAGGTATGTCAGAAAAAGAACTGCGACATCTCTTCGAGAGTGCCCTCGGGGGATTCGAACCCCGGCGCCGACTCGGTATATATGTACGTGTCAATGCCATACCTCGAAACGGAGGTCGGTGATCTCCATTGATCGACGAGGGCTTTCTCTATCCAGAATGCAACCTGGATTAATAACGCAGATCTGGGAAAGCAAGCCCGAGGAAAAGAACAACGTTGCAAACGCCCCATGCCTTCGGGGGGATTCGAACCCGCCGCCCAACCTCAGTCTACTCTCTCAACAGGAAAGCAGTAATCGGTGTGAGTGATCCCCATTGATCACCAAGGGCGTCATGTACCTACAATTCAACCGAAACACATGAGACGGATTTGAGGATGCAAGGAGGAAAAAAATCTTTCATCCCGGAATCAAACTCAACCCTTGTGTTGACTGACATCGATATGGGAGGTCTGAATCTCCATTAATCAAAGAGGACTCATTACCCTCATTACCAACCACGCCACATTTTACATTGCCACAGGGGAAGACAAGCCAGAATAAAAAGGAGTGTGATCCACACCACATGCCCTCGGAAGGATTCGAGCTCCTGCCCTCCAAGCTGAGATTTGAAACCCACCAAGTGGTGTGGGTGATCTCCAATGATCAACTCGGAGGGTTTTGCATCCCTACACTCCAGCTTGCCTCACAACCTGGATGTGGGACAGGAAGAAAGGCAAAAGAACATCTGATCTCGCCATGCCTTCGGGGGGAGTCGAACCCCCTCTACCCACTCTATCCAATCAAAAGCGATTAGTTTGTGTGGGTGATCTCCATTGATCAACGAGGGCTTCATATACCCCTCAGCCCAGGTCACATCGGCCAGAATGAGGCAGGCCAGAGTAAAAAGGTGGAATTAAGCATGCCCGCGGCCCTACATCTATTCGTCGAGCTTCAAGGTGCGCAATCGACGTGCTCTCCGCTGCTCAGTTACATCTCAACCAAACTAATAGGATGGAATTAGGCAACTCAAGTATGTGGAGGAAAAAACCTCACCATGGCCTTGACGGGATTCGAAGCCCCTGTCATTTAATCAGCGTGGGTGATCTCTAATGGTCGACAAGGGCTCCTTATGCTCATTCTCGGATAAATGGGTGATTTCTTGAGTGCAGGTGGGCAATGTGAGGAACAAAAAAAGGCTGTATCTCGCACTTCACGGCCTTCTGGGGATTCGAACTTACTCCCCACTGTTCGTCATCGTTGCGATACTTAGTTTGTGGCTGATCTCCATAATCAACGAGAGCCTTCTCTATCTAACTTACCCTGAGTAAATGGAAATACATATCGTTGCAGATTTAAGGGATTTGGCGGGCGCGCGAACCTGCTTAAATCTACAGTTGATGACCAACCGTGTGATGCCGACGGTTGGGTTCAGTGCATGTGAACTGTCTGATCGCCATGGTCGGCGGGTCGGCCGGCGCAGACAGCTGGGCGAGGCGGCCGTGAACTGTGTGATCCCAACAGTTGGCCCCCGGAGTATGCCGCACCGGCCCGAGGAAGATAATCAATCCCGTGTTATCGCTGATGCGCCAGGTATTAAAATTATACACGGTGGTGTGCTTTGGGTATGCTTATAGTCTCTCGTAGACAGACACTCTAACATCAAGCTCGTACCTCGCATAGTGTGCTTACATCCCGCCCCGAAACGGATCGGACATTCCCCTCTCTCTTCTGGACTGTCACCTCAGATATGTCTTTGCCACACTTCAACTTTAAACACAATTCTTGACCATGGAGAGCTCTGAAATCATTCCAATCAATGCCGTCACCGCTGCGTCGGAGCGATTGACGGCGCTGAAGCTTCTGACCAACTATAAAAGGCAAAATAGGGAGAAAAAAGCGAAGGTAGACAAGGATGATCCTGGTGGGTCTTTAATTTTGGGTGCTGCTCCACAACGATCTCACGGTATGATACAGGCTACAAGGCACGCCTTGAGGCTCGGATCGCGGAGTGTGATGTCTTCATGGCTGGATATATGTCCTTATTGTGTACATCCCCACAATTCAGTTTTTCACAGTGCTCACACCAGCCATCATTAACCCCAATGCGCCGACTCTCGACAGATCTCCAATCGACCAGATCGTCGCGGGTGGTGGCGGTCAGCCGGGTATACATGTTACACACATTCCTTTTTTTCACATCTGACATCATGTCCTGTAAGGGAACTCTGATGCCGCCGGTGATAAAGGACCGAGTAATGCGGCCGCTAGTCTTGGCTCTGTTACAGTGGAAGGTGTGTAATTCTCGTTCCCATGACTTGGCATCCAATCGGTGGGCCCATGTCCACGGTGCTGTGAACGGGGTGTAGCCCTTCAACAGTTGGAAACTGTTCCAACTGCGCACTGTTGAGGAAGTGCATATTCTTGACACTCCCGGTGACTGTTTGTCCCAAGCAGTTGGTGAAACACTCGCACTTGACACCTAATCCCAACCGTGTGCATTGAGCAATTGGATGGTGTTCACTGATGACACTATATCTGGACTGTGGAGTTTAGACGTCACCCGAGTGTCCATTTCCAGCACTTCAGACAAACTTCTCATGGCGTCGTCTGCCGAATTCCTATACTAACGTCCCTTCTATCAGATCCACCTATCGACCCCGCTCTCAGTAGCTCCGAAGCCCCCCCCGCCGAAGAAAGCGTGTGGGAACGATGGCCAGCCTCGCCACCGTAAAATCAGTAACATAAATTGTCCACTTCTCTCACCCCAATTTTCTAACTGCTCACAGTTACCGTCAGTCCGATGGAGTCGGTAATGGACTCCATCACCGCTCCAATGCTCGCTCGCTTTGTGAAAGGCTGGCTCACTTCCGAGACCAGAGTCCAAGCTGCCGACCCCGCTAGTCCTGCGGATGGATTTTCGGATCTTCGCGAGGCAGTTGCGGACATATTTGATATGGTCCTAGAAGTTGTTGAGCGATCGAAATTCGCTGACGAACAGCTGGGATGGAGGATAGATTATGAAGGGGGCCCCATGGAAATTTCTCACTTTACGGCCCTTCATGACTGGCTTGTCACCGCTGAGTTAATGGTGGGGAACATTCAGAAGAAACCTGTGCTGCCCCCCAAGAATGGTACATGGTTCTTCTATTATTCCCTTCAGAGTTAATTTCGAGTGTATTCACAGTTACAAGCGACAAACCAATCGTAAAAATCATCCATGATGGGAAGAAGGTCATCATGAGTCGGAGTATGGCAATTGACGCCAGGCTGACCCCTTCCATGTACCCTGGATGTGTTGAGAATGGCATGGCGCCTGTTATCTCTGTCTTGAAAAATCGGGTGTGTCTCCAAACTCCAAGCTTTGAATTGATTCTTACTCCGCATAGGCAGGTAAGGAGAATTGCATCACATGTGATGGTGTACGCGGTCAAGCACTGACCTCCAAGCCCGCCCCGCCCAAAAAAGACGGTTCTTATTTGACGGACTGTAAATGCCCTGTCCGTGGTGCAGCCCTCGAGCTTTGGATGATCAAGATGACCGCCGACAACGACGACATCCCTCAACGTGCCAACGATGTTGCCAACCACCGTCTCGCACTCAACCCCGACGTTCTCAAGGTCATCGCTGGTGCGATTGAGGCTGCATCGGGCCATCACATTGAGACCCTACTCACACCGGAGCGTGACAAATCGGACCAGACTTACACCACGGATCCTGTCCAGCTATTTAATTCCCATTCGTTGTATTAATAGCCTGTCCTAGGAATTTTGACGACGCAAGTTGCATTGCGAACTTGACCCCGCATAACCCGCGCAAGCTAGGTTTGTTTGTGTATGGACAATTTTGATCGCGGCGCTCGCTGCCCGAACTAGACCAAATCTATGCCGCAAAGTCTGTCCAGCTATTTAATTTCCATTCATTGAATCAATATCCCGTCCTAGGAATTTTTACGAGGCAGTTTGCATTCAGAACTCGACCCCCCATAACCCGCACAAACTAAGTTTGTTTGTATGTGTCTGATTTCGATCACGGTGCTCGCTGCTCGTATTGGACCGAATTTACACAACAGATCCGGTCCAGCTATTTGATTTCCATTCATTGTATCAATGGCCTGCCCTAGGAATTTTTACGAGGCAACTTGCATTCAGAACTCGACCCCCCATAGCCCGCGCAAGCTAGGTTTGTTTTGATTTCGATCGCGGTGCTCGCGGCCCGAATTGGACCGGATCTGCAGCACAGATGCTGTCCAGCTATATAATTTTCCACTCCTTGTATCGATAGCTGGTCCTAGGGATTTTTACGAGGCAATTTCACCCCGGAGAACCGAAGCAAGATGAGTCAGACACATCAATCACAATCTATCAACTGTTCAAAATCAACATGTAGATATGAGACAGTTGGAGACCAGCTGTGCATTGACACCAGGGCCCAAAGTGTTTAAAATTGACATGTCAATTTCGCACAGTTGAAAGTTGAGTGTGCACAAATGACAGTACTGGAATGCATGAATAGACCACCCTGGAGTCGATATCTCCAGCACTCTGCTCCGGTTTGAGCTCAGCAAAATCTGACCGCTCATAGGCTATGAGGCCTGGTGGCTAATGCTTCATGTTAGGACTAACTCAGTACATATTTACATAGATTATGGATGTCTTGGTAAGTTAAAACAGGAGATAATGAATATTTTTGAGCGCTTAAATCTGAGCTAAATCTGCCTTAAATTTCAACATAGTCAGCCCTGAGCCGCCACATAGTTTGGCCTGATTTAACCACCAATGAAGTGTGAAATTCACACAGTCCACATCTACTGTGCTTTCGGCGCACCATCAGGCTGTTCATTTCTCGCACTTGAGCTACACATGTAAATTCAGTGTGTCAGCTGGAGAGCACCATCGAATACGTAGCCGGGCGTGAGGCATATCTTCCCTCCTTCATTTATGCACAACTTGATATATATATATACAATTTTATTCACTGTACTACTTGCGACTCTGCCGAGACTTTGATTCACCTCTGAGTTTGCGTTCTGCCCGTACCGCCTTCATCAGCATTGTGAGATTTTCCCGCAACCCCGGGAACTTCGCCTCAAACTTCTCATGATTTCCCCCACATTGGACCTCAAACTCTTCACAAACGAGCCGGATATTTCCCAGCTTCACCGCTT